ACCAGCAGCCCCCCCTACTGCCACTGCCCCCGGTTCCCCCCCCCGTTCGGGTCCCCGCGTCTCACCAGGTTGCTCCGTCCCCCCAGGTGTCTGTGTCGTGTCAGGCTCCTACGTCTGCTCCAGTCGCTGCGTCGTGCTCCTGCCGGTCGCTTGCCCACCCCACCGTTCTGTGGCACCACCGGATGGGGCACCCGTCCCTTCCTCGTCTGCGCGCTATGTCTAGTCAGCGTCTTGTCCTAGGCCTCCCACGTGTCTTGCCGTCGCTGCCGCCTTCGCTTGCGCCGCCGTGTGGTCCCTGCGTCGAGGGTCGGCTGCGCGCCGCCCCTCACTCCTCCTCCCTTCGTCCGGCCACCGAGCCTTTTGAGACGCTTCACTTGGACGTCTTGGGCCCCGCCCCTCGTCTAGGCCCTGAGCGTGAGCGCTACTTTCTGGTGGTCGTTGACGACTTCTCCCGCTACACCACAGTGTTCCCTCTGGCGAAGAAGTCTGAGGTGACTTCTACGCTGATCAGGTGGTTGCTCACCACCGAGGACACTCGTGGTCGTCGTGTCAGCTGTCTCCACTCCGACCGTGGGGGTGAGTTTCGCTCCGGCATTCTCGCTGGATTCTGTCGCGAGCAGGGCATTCGTCAGTCCTGGACGCTTCCAGAGTCCCCACAGCAGAATGGGGTTGCTGAGCGCCGCATAGGCCTGGTCATGGAGATCGCCCGCACCTCCCTGACTCACGCCTGTGCCCCCCATTTTCTGTGGCCCTACGCGGTCAGGTACGCCGCGCACCAGCTGAACCTCTGGCCACGTGTCTCTCGACCAGAGGTTTCACCGACCAGTCTTTGGACAGGGTCCCCTGGTGTTGCGTCGCGGTTTCGTGTCTGGGGGTGCTTGGCTCTTGTCCGCGACACCTCCGCGGACAAGCTCTCGCCTCGTGCCGTCCCCTGTGTCTTCCTTGGTTTCCCTGAGGACTCCTCTGACTTCACCTTTTACCACCCTCCCTCTCACCGGTTCTTTGACTCCCGTGACGTCCGTTTCGAGGAGTCCACTCCGTACTACGTCAGGTACCCCAGTCAAGGTCTCCCGGTTCCTCCTCCCCCCCTCTTCCTGACTGCCGCTCCCCCTCCTGCTCCCCCGGTACAGCCTCCCCCCCCTGGCCCAGCCCCGTCAGGTGTGTCCCAGGCTACCCCTCCTCCTTCGGTAGCCCCTCCGGTACAGCCTCCCTCCCCACAGTCCTCCTCGCAGCGTGCCGCTGGTGCTAGCTCTCGAGAGGTTGGTGCTGCGCCTGTTCCTGTACCGGTTTCTGGTTCTGGGGGTGCTGGAGTTGGAGCTGGTGTTGGAGCTGGAGGTGGAGCTGGAGTAGGCACTGGAGTTTCTGGTTCTTGGGGTGCTGGAGTTGGAGCTGGAGTTTCTGGTTCTGGAGTTGGAGCTGACCCGGTGGGTGCAGAGGACTCTTGTCGTCCGGGAGCCGGTGCTGGCCGCGCGGACTCTGGGGGTGCTCCCTCTGGGGGTGAGGGTGTGCCTGCTTCGGGTTCTGGTGCGCCTGGGTCTGGAGCTGGTGTTAGTGCTGCCTCTGGGGGTGGTGCGCCTGGTTCTTCGAGGGTTTACTCTGGAGCTGCCGCTGCTTCGGACACTACTCCGCCCCCCCACCCCTACCCGACTAGGCACCAGGCTCGTGTTCGCCGTGCGCGTGACGAGCAGCTGGAGTTGGAGAGAGAGGAGAGGGAGTTACAGCGGCTGGCGGAGCAGCAGCAGCAGCTGGACCCGCAGGAGCAGCAGTCCCAGCAGCAGCCGCGTCCGCAGCAGCAGCAGTCGCAGCAGCAGCAGCAGCAGCCACTTCCTCCTCCTGTCTCGGGTCTTCGGGCCCTTGGTCTCCCCTCCCCTTCTCCTCCCTCCTCCGCCTCTCCTCCTGTCTACGGTCCCACGTTTCCTCCGCCTGACTCCTCCCCCGCTGTTTTCTCTAGTTCTCCGCCTTTGTCCTCTCCTCCTCCGTCTCGTTCTTGGGCTACTCGTCGCTCCCCTCGTGCTCGTCCCTCGTCTCCTGTTCCCTTCACTGACCTTCGTACTGCCTTACTTTGTTCCAGTCCACCTCGTCCGTCTCAGTATGTGCTCCCGTCTCCTCCTGAGTCGGCCCTCACCGTGTCGCTCCCTGCTCCTGTCACTGACTACTACCGCACGTACCGTCCTGTTCTCTCTCGTGTTCTCGCCTCTCTTGTTACTCACCCTCGTGCCTCTGTGTCCTCTGTGTCTGCTCTTACTGCCGCGGTTACTGACTTTGCCGCTACCCGCCGCCTTGACTACGCCACCACGCTTGTGGCTGCTCCTCCTACCAGTCCTCTGGCCGTCGGGGGTGTGTCTGCCCTTGGCTGTGACGCCCTAGAGGACAGGCAGTTTGAGCTAGAGTTCCTGGCGGCCGCTTCCCCTCATCTCTGTGCCATGCTCCTCGCCCCTGAGGGTGACCCCGACGCCCTTGACATTCCGACTCCTCGCACTTACGCTGAGGCAGTGTCAGGGCCTTTGGCCTCTCAGTGGAGAGCTGCCATGGACGCAGAGATGGCCTCCTACAGATCCACAGGCACCTACGTCGATGAGGTTCCCCCCCCTGGGGCGAACGTAGTCGACGACATGTGGATCTACAGGGTGAAGCGGCCACCGGGATCTCCCCCGGTCTTCAAGGCGCGCTACGTGGCTAGAGGTTTCAGTCAGCGCGAGGGAGTTGACTTCTTTCAGACCTTCGCACCTACCCCGAAGATGACCACTCTTCGGGTGTTACTACACGTAGCAGCACAGAGAGACTACGAGTTACACTCTCTCGACTTCTCCACTGCTTTCCTTCAGGGCAGCCTACACGAGGAGGTCTGGTTACGTTGTCCCTCGGCCTTCACTGGCACTTTCCCTCCTGGGACCCAGTGGAGGCTGAGGCGACCTGTTTACGGTCTTCGCCAGGCCCCTCGTGAGTGGCACAACACTCTGCGTTCTACCCTCTCTGACCTTGGGTTCCAGCCGTCTTCTGCCGACCCGTCGCTGTTCGTTCGTCGTGGCTCCACACCGTTCTTTGTTCTGGTCTACGTCGACGACCTCGTTTTCGCCACTCCGGACAGGGTTGCTTTGGCAGACGTGAAGTCCAAACTGCAGAAGAGACACACGTGCACTGATCTTGGTGAGCTGCGCTACTACCTTGGCCTGCAGATCACCAGGGACAGAGCCGCTCGCACCATTACACTCTCACAGTCACACATGGTGCAGCAGGTCCTTCAGCGGTTCGGGCTTCAGCACTCCACCGTACAGCGCACACCTCTCGCTGTTGACCACAGACTCACTGGTCCCTTTCCTGACGAGCCGTTTGAGCCTAGTGGTCCCTACGCAGAGCTTGTGGGTTGCCTCATGTACCTGATGACTTGTACTCGCCCGGACCTCGCCTTCCCTCTCAGCATCCTTGCGCGCTTTGTTGCGCCAGGGAGACACCGTCCTGTTCACTGGACGGCAGCTGTGAGGGTGGCGAAGTACCTAGCGACTACATCAGGCGTGGGGCTAGTTCTTGGAGGGCAGCAGTCTGTCGTACTCACTGGTCACTGTGACTCCTCTTACGCTGACGACGCTGAGACTCACAGGTCTACTCAGGGGTACTGTTTCAGTCTGGGTTCTGGAGCTGTTTCCTGGCGTTCCACGCGCTCCTCTTCTGTCTCGACCTCTACAGCTGAGGCTGAGATTTACGCTGGTGCCATGGCGGCACAGGAGTTGCGGTGGTTGACCTTCTTGCTTGCCGACCTTGGTGAGCGGCCGAGCTCTGCACCGACCTTGTTTACTGACAACAAGGCGTCGATCCTCCTCTGTCGTGAGCCGCGACTGGAGAACAGAGTGAAGCACATTCACGTCAGGTACTTTCTTCTGCGAGAGTTGCAGAGACGTGGACAGGCTCGCTTCGAGTTCGTGGAGTCCGAGGCCAACACTGCAGACATCTTCACCAAGGCGCTTCCGCCTTGTGACCACCAGAGGTGTTGTGTGCAGTTAGGCCTTGTTGACACAGGTTCTAGTCATGTGTAGACTTGAGTTTATTGCCTGCTTCGTCTGTACACTTGCTATATATAATTGTGATCTCTTGGACTGGCCTTGTGGCCACTGTTGCTTGTGCTCAGAGTGTGTGGTGACGTTGTGATCCACCCTGAGCTTTGTTTTCTTTTGGACTGGTCTTGTGACCGTACTCTTTTTGATTTTGCTAGACACCCCTCACTTAGGCTATGGGGGTGTGTCAAATATTGTAGCCTGTAGTGAGGTTTGTCTTAGGGAATACAGAAGTTAGGGTTTGTTATATGTACCCCAACCAACATCAATGGCATATTCATTCCTCATTCTGACACGTTTTTAGTACAGGACTGCCTTATTTAGAAGGTGGGAGAGTGTAAGGATTTACAGAATCCTTACTGAGGCACTCGTTAGCGAGGCCATCCCGAGGGTCACGCGACGAACCTGTCCTTCCTATTTAGTCGCACCGAACCACTCCCGAGTCGCCTCCGCTCCAATCGCAACCATCACCGAGCCGTCCTCGCCCAACCTCTCCGCCTAGCTAGGACTTCCCCTATTTAGTCGTACCTTTCTCATTGTATCGTCATTCAGTAATTCAGTAATCAATCATTCTCGTTATTCGTTTTACTGCGCACTCTGCAAGTTTATTCATAACAGGCAGATTGTCGATGCGAGGGTTGCGAGTGGTAACGGTGCTGACTGTGGTGCTACAGTGATGTACGCGTTGAGCAGGGATGCGAAGTAAGGAAAAGGAATTTTCCTTACAATGGAGTACAGTAGAACACAGTTTCAATTCCTTCATAGGAAAATGGATTAGAAAATGAAAACCAACAAAAATTGCTCATTGCACGGTCTCCCCAATACCGCAGATTGCTCATTAGCAAGCTATTTCACCCACAGGCATTTCAAACACACATTGGTCGTCCTGTTTGTCATGGTGCTACACCCACGAGAAGTGGGTCGAGAAGTGGGTTGGGAGGAAGTAGAAGCTTAGGCCTTGCAAAACATGAAGCCAAGAGGTCGTTTGCATGGATTGCAACCCAAGTTGACCTTGACAATTTCACTGCCACAGCAAGGAAAAAAACAAGCAGTTGCCACTACCACTGGTAAGTTACGGTAACAGATTTGACGCAGAATTGATTGAAAAAGAGGATGAAGAAACGAAATACCAACACACTGACCTGTGCGTGCAACAAATATCGTGTGACTTACTCGTGGTCGTGCTCGACACTGGTGTCGTACGCTGTATTCTTGACAACAAACATTAGCGTGTTCTTCCCCTTGGGCTTGATAGTTACGGACCCTCCATCCCCTACCTTCCGCCGAAACCTGAAGAGGGGAACGAAGAGACAATTGTTAGTTTTGCGATTTCAGGTGATGTTCAGAGCCTGGAAACTCACATTAACCGCACGTCACATTTGAGTTCGTTTGAGCCTCATAGTACACCGCGACTCAGTTTGAAAAATGATTGTCTGTATTTAAAACGAACGGCTGAGAGTCGTCCGAGTTGAGATTTGCATCTGGAAGAAATGCATCAGAGCGCAGCTTACTTGAGAGACGACGGGCCGCCGCTTTTCTGCTTGAGTGTCAGCACGTCAGGACTCCACGAAGCGTCCGCGACTCCGGTCATCGACGCCCCCGTGAGCGCCAAAACCTTGGGGGTTGAGGAATCGCTCGAGACCGCGAAAGCGTCGCCCGTCATTTCGCCGTCGTCGGAAAACCCGACGCCGTACCATCCCTTGCTGCGAAATCCGTTGCCTTTCAGGAGGAATTTTACGGTGGTGGAATCGACGACCTTCCAATGGAGGCTTACGCTGTCAAAACATAAAAGACAGGAGACAGTGTGCAAAAGACGTCTTGTCAACACGTCGTCATCATCAGAGGAACTCGATATGAATAACTGGAACAAATACGTCAGTTTAACTGGTTGTTGGAACGAGGATCAAACGCTTACCCTTTGATTGGGGAGATCGCTGAAGTGTACCCTTTGACCGACGAGAAAGAGCATCCCTGAATCAGCGCCGGAAGCGACACCAACACAAAGAGGACGGCGACAACACGCATTGTAGTAGTCGTTGTCGCCGTCTCGAAATTCCGTAAGCAAGCCATTGTGAAGACTTCTTCGAAAAGAAGGAGCCTTCGATTTGCACAGCAGACGGGGTGGACGCTGCTTCGGGTCGGAAGTGTTAATTGCGAGGTGAGGAGAGATGAGCTTCTGGTGAGAGTGGCGGCGGGGCTTGGAAGTGACAGTCAGGGTGGGTTGTGGCAAGGTGGTGGAGCGTGGGGGGCTCGATGAGTGTGATGGGAGGAATGCAATTAGCACGGGGGAACTGGTGAAATACTCCATAACCCGCCAGTTTGTAGTAAACCGGGCAGGGCACGCCATGCTTGGGAAAGGCCGGGCTAGATCTGGGAGGCTGGTCTGGGAAGTGACGAAGAGCGGCGGCGGGCGCCGCACCAGACCATACCAGCTGGTCTGGAAAGGTTTCTTGACGTGTTGCACATGACGGAGCAGGCTTGGTTATACAGTACCGTGTGCCCAACAAAGCTTTTAATTTGACCTGAAACTTGTGAAAGTTTTTTGACAAGGAAACATGGCCTTCTCTGGTGTGCCTCAATTCCACTTCACACGCATTGTCGTGAACAATTGGACTTTCATACAGCTACGACTGCAGTCATGTACACCCCCATGTGTTGCATCCAAACGGAGGCTTGGGTGCGTCAAACTAGAAGAGGTGGTTTGGTTACCCTGGCGGACTGAGCGAGTGCCCAAACCACGCCTAGTACACACCACCACAATGCAGCCACCACGGCCGAATTTTAGTTTCTAGTTACATCATTGTAGCGGGCTGGAGTTGATGTGGTCGAAAGCGCAGATGAAAAATGTCAATCTTGGCATCAATTGTGATTTATTCTAATTTCGAATCATTTTTCTTGGGAGAAAGAAGCACTAGCTGTACCCGTTTCTGCTGGGAGATTCCACAAGCTTTGGAATTGAGAGCTGGGTGGGTTGTGTGTTGTGGGTTGGTTTGGGAGCCACAGAGTGCGACTCGCCACAAGCCGTACAAAGATGTGGTACGCTTATGGACATGGACACACGTGGACCTAATGTTGGCTGCCAAAAGTCCTTCGCGCTGGATATCCATAAGGTAAGTGATACGGCGTTCGGTCCGTCGATATCGTCTACACCTTGTTTCTCGATGTTTGAACAATCGGGAGCCCAGGCTACAGTGCGCACGTGTGCTTGGATTCAGCGGGCTGGTGCTTGCAACCGAAATGCACTTCAGGAGAACGGTAGACAACGGATTATAAAATCAAACGTGCTCTTGAGTTCGGCTTCTTGCGGCAAAAGTGCTTATACGGTATTTTCTGGGACCAATTTGGACGCATTGATGTCAGTACAAACGGCTTCTCAATATGGCGAATGTCAGTGTGGCGCGGAACAGGGTGTATCACTCAAAAGTTCCTTCAACAAACGGCCTTGATCTCCTAGAACGGGCAAATCAGAACATCGATGCACACCCGTTGTCTCTGAAATGTCGCACAACGATAATGGATGCACCAACCGACCTAGTTCACTCCACAAATGAAAACCTCGGTATTGAGAGACGGCACAGCCTTAGGTTGGATCTTTGCAGTCGAGTTTGTTGCAGTGCACAATCCATAAAACAGCTCCGTAAATGTTAGTTGGCTAAAAAAAAACACTAGGTAATCGAAACTCTTTTGACTAGAAGGGTGATGCTACAATTTCTACAGGAGAGGCTAAGGTGGAGAGATGTCTAGAAATGCACCAAGTACCCATCACCAGTGGCAGAACGAGTCAGTCTTCTGAGCCTGGTTTGTGAAATTACTCCCATATATTACATCAGTTTAGCCGCTGTCAAAGCTATGACTGTATACGAACGACTGCCGACATTGTGCAGCTGCTGTTCTCCTTGTAACCAGTGCGCCTATCAACGACCTGAACGCTTAGTTAAACGTATTGCAAAGCATCTTGCGGACGACGCCCGAGCAGCCATTGCAGGAGAGATCAATGACGGCATGGCCACTGCACGTGAATGGGAGGGAGGGAAGGGAGGGAGGTAATTGAGAAGGGGCAAGGGGAACAGAGGGACGAGATGGAGGAGAGAGATTGGAACGTCAGATTGTAGAGAAAGGAGGTAGGAGCCGCAGTCTTAGTACAGCCTGGAACGTCAGAGATATTCGGAAATCTAGCAATTCAAGGATTTATCTGGGCTTGCAAGGGGTGCACGTACCAATTGGCGTGGCGGTTGGGTTCCAACCAAGTGGTCTTTGCGAAGACCATGCGACTAGCCTAGAAACTCAGATAATTCTAGAAATCTATCAGGGGCTGAAAAGGGGTGCATCTCGACAACGTGGTCTTTGCGAAGGCCATGTGACTCGGCTCGAACTTCAGAGATAATTTTAGAAATCTATCAAAGGCTTGAAAGAGGTGCACGTACGAGTAGGCGTGGCGGGTGGATCCCGACCACGTGGTTTTGGCGAAGGCCCACGTGATGTAGTTGTTGCCCGAAAAGTTCATGTCAGAACTTTATAGCTTACTCATTTGTGTAGGCTATAGTGGGGTATCCCATAGGGGGTACAATCCCTTTAGGGTTTCCTATTTGTACTCACTTCATTCATAGTCATTCCATTCTCGTTCACTTCTTCTCATGGTATCAGAGAGGGTTCCCCTGTGGGAACTGTGCTTAGGGCCCACCACCACTACCTCGTAACTTTTTTTTCTGCCCGGAGCGCCCTCCGGGCCCTTTCTCTTCCTTTTTTTTCGATCTGCCCTAACGGCCCCTTGCGCCTGAGCGCCGCCCGCCCTAGCGCCATAGCGCCGCCCGCCCTAGCGCCCGCGCACTGCCCGCCCTAGAGCCCGAGCGCGGCCCGCCCTAGAGCCTGACGGCCGCCCGCCCTAGAGCCTGAGCGCCGCCCGTCGCCGCCCTAGCGCCCGTGCGCCCGACGCCCGCTAGCCGCCCGACGCGCCGCCCGTGCACAGCCCGTGCGCCGCCCGTGCGTCGCCCTCAGGAGCTCAACGCGCCGCCCGTGCAGCCGCCCGTGAGCTGCCTGTGCGCCGCCCGACGACCCGCCCGGGCAACTGCCCGTGCTGCCGCCCGTGCAGCCGCCCGCGCACCCGTCAGCGTCAGCAGCAGCAGCAGCACCACCAGCGGCCGCACCAGCAGCCCCACCTACTGCCACTGCCCCCGGTTCCCCCCCCCGTTCGGGTCCCCGCGTCTCACCAGGTTGCTTCGTCCCCCCAGGTGTCTGTGTCGTGTCAGGTTCCTACGTCTGTTCCAGTCGCTGCGTCGTGCTCCTGCCGGTCGCTTGCCCACCCCACCGTTCTGTGGCACCACCGGATGGGGCACCCGTCCCTTCCTCGTCTGCGCGCTATGTCTAGTCAGCGTCTTGTCCTAGGCCTCCCACGTGTCTTGCCGTCGCTGCCGCCTTCGCTTGCGCCGCCGTGTCGTCCCTGCGTCGAGGGTAGGCTGCGCGCCACCCCTCACTCCTCCTCCCTTCGTCCGGCCACCGAGCCTTTTGAGACGCTTCACTTGGACGTCTGGGGCCCCGCCCCTCGTCTAGGCCCTGAGCGTGAGCGTTACTTTCTGGTGGTCGTTGACGACTTCTCCCGCTACACCACAGTGTTCCCTCTGGCGAAGAAGTCTGAGGTGACTTCTACGCTGATCAAGTGGTTGCTCACCACCGAGGACACTCGTGGTCGTCGTGTCAGCTGTCTCCACTCCGACCGTGGGGGTGAGTTTCGCTCCGGCATTCTCGCTGGATTCTATCGCGAGCAGGGCATTCGTCACTCCTGGACGCTTCCAGAGTCCCCACAGCAGAATGGGGTTGCTGAGCGCCGCATAGGCCTGGTCATGGAGATCGCCCGCACCTCCCTGACTCACGCCTGTGCCCCCCATTTTCTGTGGCCCTACGCGGTCAGGTACGCCGCGCACCAGCTGAACCTCTGGCCACGTGTCTCTCGACCAGAGGTTTCACCGACCAGTCTTTGGACAGGGTCCCCTGGTGTTGCGTCGCGGTTTCGTGTCTGGGGGTGCTTGGCTCTTGTCCGCGACACCTCCGCGGACAAGCTCTCGCCTCGTGCCGTCCCCTGTGTCTTCCTTGGTTTCCCTGAGGACTCCTCTGACTTCACCTTTTACCACCCTCCCTCTCACCGGTTCTTTGACTCCCGTGACGTCCGTTTCGAGGAGTCCACTCCGTACTACGTCAGGTACCCCAGTCAAGGTCTCCCGGTTCCTCCTCCCCCCCTCTTCCTGACTGCCGCTCCCCCTCCTGCTCCCCCGGTACAGCCTCCCCCCCCTGGCCCAGCCCCGTCAGGTGTGTCCCAGGCTACCCCTCCTCCTTCGGTAGCCCCTCCGGTACAGCCTCCCTCCCCACAGTCCTCCTCGCAGCGTGCCGCTGGTGCTAGCTCTCGAGAGGTTGGTGCTGCGCCTGTTCCTGTACCGGTTTCTGGTTCTGGGGGTGCTGGAGTTGGAGCTGGTGTTGGAGCTGGTGTTGGAGCTGTAGGTGGAGCTGGTGTTGGAGCAGGAGGTGGAGCTGGAGGAGGCACTGGAGTTTCTGGTTCTGGGGGTGCTGGAGTTGGAGCTGGAGTTTCTGGTTCTGGAGTTGGAGCTGACCCGGTGGGTGCAGAGGACTCTTGTCGTCCGGGAGCTGGTGCTGGCCGCGCGGACACTGGGGGTGCTCCCTCTGGGGGTGAGGATGCGCCTCCTTCGGGTTCTGGTGAGCCTGGGTCTGGAGCTGGTGTTAGTGCTGCCTCTGGGGGTGGTGCGCCTGGTTCTTCGGGGGTTGACTCTAGAGCTGTCGCTGCTTCGGACACTACTCCGCCCCCCCACCCCTACCCGACTAGGCACCAGGCTCGTGTTCGCCGTGCCCGTGACGAGTAGCTGGCGTTGGAGAGAGAGGAGAGGGAGTTACAGCGGCTGGCGGAGCAGCAGCAGCAGCTGGACCCACAGGAGCAGCAGTCCCAGCAGCAGCCGCGTCCGCAGCAGCAGCAATCGCAGCAGCAGCAGCAGCAGCCACTTCCTCCTCCTGTCTCGGGTCTTCGGGCCCTTGGTCTCCCCTCCCCTTCTCCTCCCTCCTCCGCCTCT